GACACCTCACTTGATATTTCAGAACAAGGCGACATCAATCACGACACTTCGATCATGGAAGGCTGCCGAACCCAGTAATCAATCGCTGCCGAACCAAGTCACAACATGCCGCTGTTGCGCCGGCGCGCGAGCAATTGTGGAGCTGCGGTTTACATGTCCGGTAGGGCTGCATTCGGAGACAGTGCGGCGATTTGTGTTGCAGAGTGACGCCGCTGGGATGTGGTGATGTAACTCGCAAAGGACGCCTGGTATGCATCACGGGGCATGAAGAGCTGGACGCGAGGCACCGACAAATTCGCCGGTGGTGGATTCCGACAACCACGCGTCCCTATAACATGCGATATATACCTATTACAGTAGACCTGGCCTCTGGAAGAAACACTATCCAGATGCCTCTGTGCACTGGACGAAAACTGCCTTCAACTCCGGTGTGCGAGGTCTATATATATCTACTTTGGAAACGCCAATTTCCCTTCACTGGATATAAGAGGTGACCGTCATTCGAAGAGACAGTCATCAGACACGGTGTAGGTAGATCATTGAACACACCGACACCAGAGATATGTATGAAGCGCTGCCATATTGATTAGCAGTCTTTCCCCACTTGATTCGGATATGGCACTTCCAGACCAGACAGCTGGGGATTCCCCGGATCCCCTGCGGCCACAAACATAGTTTTCTGAAGATCATCGTTGCCCATCTCCGTGGCCGAGGAGTCAAGACCATATGGGAACTTAATGAGGCAACTAAAGCGCGGACGCGAGGTCCCGACAAACTCTTTAGATTCTCTTATTGATCGCCATTCATCAACGATCTTCGGAGAACATTGGTCTGAGAAATCGGCGATCGATCTGCAGTTGCAGGTTGCGTGAATGTAGTTGACCGCAATCTCCAGATAAGGGTTCGTGGAGACAATCCGGTGTCGAGGCATTTAGCCTCACCCTCATCTAGCCTTCCCGCCTCATATCAAGCCCTGAAGGTACATCAATCATGTAAATGCGATTTAAAGTCAGGAAAAATCAGTTGCCATGCGTCCCAGCTGTTCGCAGCTATGCTGTTGTACACGACGGCGCATGCATTCATCTTTTTGTATCCTATGCGTGATAAGTCAAGACATGACCATGGTGCACGAAGAACAGTTCGTCCGCAGTACACATTTCCCAACTCTCGAGCGTGAGCGGAATGCGAAACGCCCATGTGGGCGATATGGTCCAGGATACCGTGTTGGACAGCCCTCGGCATTGCGTCACTGCCAACTCCAACGCCTGGCCCAAGCTCAAGCTGTCTCTTAACAATCTGGACGCGAAAACTCCAGTGTAGCGACAGCGACGTGTAGTGAAGCGGTGATTTGTTTGCAGAACGTCCATCGCACCTACCTCATTAGACCTGGACTTTGCACGTTGCTGAGTAAGAGCTCGCAGCTACCCCACCATGCACGGCATCCTCGAGCTGTCGCTGCAGCTCCTCAACTCGTTTAGCCCGGCCAATCTCGGTGCGTACGCCTCATCCACTAGCCACCTACTGTTGCTGTGGCTTAAATTAACAGTCACTAATTATGAACAGGTCGATCTGGGGCTCAAGTACCTCTTCAAGGCGAACAGGATGTGAAGTGTCGGTACTCCCTAATCTTACTGGTCAGGCCAGCAGATTGAAGCAGCAACTAACAATCGCACAGCAATACCAACAAAGTCATCTGTTCCAGACTACTTTGTCACGGACGATGGACACTTCCAAGGCCCTACCAAGACGGGCGCTGCACCGTTCATGGCGCAGACAAACCTAGCACCTTTTGCCGGCGTGTCATACATTCCAAATACGCCTCTGGAAACACAAATCCCCATTGCTGGCAATGCGGAAAACAAGAACATATTCCAAAGTATGGCAAACATCAGCCCTTACTTTCCTAATCCCCGAGGCTTCGGAGTAAACGAGTACTCGATACCGCCTGGCACCAACGTAACATGGCTCAACATGGTCCATCGCCATGGAAGTCGGTACCCCGAAGTCAGTGGTGAAGCTGCAGAGCGGACTTTAGGGAAGAAGCTCACGGACGCGGCTGGCAAGTTCACTGGTCACGGACCCCTTTCGTTCCTCAACGATTGGCAATTTCTACTGGGTGCTGAGATCCTCGTCCCCAATGGCAAGCAGGAGCTATTCACCTCTGGTACACTGCACTACTACCAGTATGGCCACTTATATCCCAACAATGGAAGCAAGGTTATCGTCCGGAGTACGACCCAACGACGCATGACCGAGTCGGCGGAGTACTTCCTTGCCGGCTTTTTCGGTCTAGGCTGGGCACAAAATGCAACGCTTGAGCTGGCAATTGAGGCGCCTGGCTTCAACAATACGCTTGCTGGCTACAAGCAGTGCAACCATTCGAGTTGGCCGACGGCGCGACAAGGGCTCATGGAATGGATCGGCGTGTACCTTCATGATGCTCATCAGAGGTTCAGAAGCAACATCACCGGTGACCTTGACTGGACAATCACCGATACGTACAACGCTCAAGCTTTGTGTTCGTATGAGACAATTTCGCTTGGCTTCTCTCACTGGTGCGGCCTGTTTACCTACGAGGAGTGGGAAGGCTACGAGTACGCCCTGGATCTTTCATTCCAGGCAGGCACAGGTTTTGGCTCTTCAGTCGGTCGTGCTATTGGAATTGGTAAGGATTGACGATGCCTCTTCTACCTCAATATACTGATACTGTACAGGCTACGTGGAGGAAGTCCTCGCCCGCATGCAGCACCACGTTATCACCTCCCCTTCTGCCCAAATCAACGTAACCCTTGACAATAACACGGTCACCTTTCCCATCGATCAGAACCTGAACCTGGACTTTAGCCACGACGCCGGCATCATCAGTATTCTCGTCGCATTCGGCATCACGCAGTTCAGCGAGGTACTTCCCACGACCCACATCAAGACGCCGCGCGAATTCATCCTCTCGCATCTCCAGCCGTTCGCTGGTCGTCTCGACATCGAAGTCATCAAAGCACCTGCGCCCGTCAACCCTAACCGGACGGACGAGGAGATATATCTTGACGGGCCGCCAACGAGCTACGTTCATTTCATTCTCAACCAGAGGACTGTTCCACTGGGTCGTAGTCACAAGGAATGTGGTGATAGAGACGACGGGTGGTGCGAGATGGAAACATTCCTGAAGGTCCAGCAAAAACAGATTGAGCTTGCGGATTACGATTTCGCTTGCTTTGGAGAGTACGACGATCCGACGTACGGAGAGGTCACAGACGGACGGCCGCTGAGATAGGCGCTGGGATGCCGTTGAGAATGGGAGCGGTATAATGATTTGGATACGTCGCGATGACAAGATCTTTGTTGCTAATGAATCTACGCCATTGAAGGCTCATCGTTGAGTTATTCTATTCGCGACTTCGCTATGCTGATAACCATACGTTTCGGCAAGGTCTTATTCGCTCTTGCAGTTACCAATAGCACAGCAACAAGTCCCCGGCTTATCATCATTCTTGCTCAGTATCCAAAAGGTTCCGAATCATAATCAAAATCGTCATCCGAGTCGTCCATCGCACCCCAGACACCAACGTAACGCACAGAGTCAGGCAATCCCTTGCACCTCAATTTGTTGCCTGGAAAGCAGAGCTCCAAAACACCCTCACCCAAGAACGTGACTTTACAATCAAAGGGATCCAGTGCCACAGTGCCATATGCTGTCATTTCAACAGGGTCTTGTGATGCGAACTGCGGAGGGCTGTTGATGTTCATCCAAAACCTGTCCTCCGGTTCGTCCATGAGATTGAGCCTGACTCCAGTCTCTGTATCACCTTTAGGTAACATTGGCTCCAAGTGTTGCCTGCCAATTTTGAGGGTTCCGGCTTCCCAGTCATCGATGTTATCTCCATTTTCCCACCACCGCTCTGGATTCTGAGCGTAGAAGTCCAAATGTTGAGACGAGAAAAGCGTATAGTTGCCGCTGATGTCTCCCAGAAATATTTTCTCGCCACTTCGTATTCTTTCCTTGAGAGCTTGCGCTTGATTTTCGAAACGGGTTGCTTTGGTCTTGTGTTCGGCAATAGCTTTTTGATGATATACGTCTTCAGGTTCTCCTAAGCCGACGTAATCCTCTTTGTCGTACATTTCTGTTTCTTGGTCTTCGTACTCTTCTTCGTTGTTTACAACCGGTGTCTCTTTGAGAGTATGTAAGCTTTCATCTCAATAAGAGTCGTGGCGTCATACCACTATGCAGGCCAAACCCTCTCGGACCGTCGTGGTTATGTTGCGTCGCCATACCGAGATAGAAAGCTCTTCTGGTTTGAACACTCCAGGGAGCGGATTACGGTTCGATTCTTTGATAATGTAGGTCTATGCGCAGATGGAAGACGTAGATTCGTTGACAGAGAAAGAGACGCTGTGGTGCTTATGATCAGGTTGAGTGTCGCGCTGAGACGCGTTGCATTGTCCGAAAAGGGTGTGTGAGGGCTACCTAGGTATGTAGCAGCTGAACCCTGGGCGTGCACGTGTGCAGAGCAGAACGTGGGTATCATGTGACCAGGGCGCACGTTGCATTGTCTTTGGTCCACCAAGAGTAGTGCATTGGGTCCGGCCCAACGCCACATCGTCATCACACGTCGAATTCACGATCAGAGATCCTCGCACTGCAAAACCAAAAGGATATATTACAAAGTCGTAGATGGCAAGGTCGAAGTATATACAAATTCGGAGATCGCGTGCTTTCTCATTGTCCATCTTCGTCATCGTCCTCATCGTCGCTCTCGTCAAAGCTCCCAGAATCAGAGTCTTCCAAGTCAACGGGCATTCCAAACGCCGCCAGCATATTCGACGGGTGTGTATGCCTGGTATACTTGCAATTCCGCCACTCGTCATGAAATTCCTCGGCTGCGCGCTTCACAGCTTTCCGGTCTTGGACCATAATCCCAGCAAAGTAGATACCGTCCATGCGCAACTCCAAGTAGCCATCGCCGAGAAAGTTGAGTTCGACGGAGATCGGTTCTTCTTCACCGTCATCGAAGAGCTGGACGCTTTCGGGACACGTGGATGTATATTTTGGTTTTGTCGAAACTGGTCGCCTGGGCGTCTACAGGCCCACCGAAGATCTCGAGTTGCATGCCCATATCGCCAGCATAGGGACCGAGATCTTCGACGATGAGGTGCTTTCCAAACTCGATACTTCCGACACCGTCGGTCCAGTCGGTATCTTCGAGGTCTTGGCCCTCCTTGCTTGCATATTCTTCCACCCATTGCGCGGAGTAGAGATGCCACTTTCCGCGTATGTCACCCACTCTGCGCTCTGTGTCCCCAAGCTTTTCGGCGGCGGCCTTGACCTTTTCTTCTTCTTTAGCTTGATCTGCTTTCACTTCTTCGAGCAGCGCTTCGGGGTCTTCTTCGTCGGTGTCCCCTGCGCCTGAGCTCTCAGCTTCCGATTCTGTTCCCAGTTCCACTTCGCTGTTCTCCTCTCAGCTCCGTTCCTGCGCTAGTGGGATCGGTTAGAGCGTCACAATAAGCTAGCTGGAGGCGTCCACGAACTCACCTGTATTCGCGCTGGGTTGTGTAGTAGGCATATTGATATTGATTCGTGTCGTGGCCTCCGCTACAATAGAGATGCATGTGCTATGGAGAGGGAGTGTTTATATTTAAGGTTTCTAGAAAGGCCATTGTGACGTAGCCGCGGAGATCTTCCCGACTGGGGTGTTCGCGCTACGGCAGGAACGCCTGACGCGACTCGTTCCCCCATCACCTCGCCCCAGCTTTGCGTCCAACATGGCGCTATGCCGCTCCCTCGTGCTTGGAATCCAATGTCGCTTCTATTACAAGCAATCCTCTGGCAGCTTTATGAGCTTTCGCATGTGAAACGAATGCTAGGCGGCTTCGCTCCCCAGGTCATCTAAACGAAAAGAAAGCAGACCTTGGAAGGCGCACCGGATCTCCAGAAACCGGTCAATACCGCGCGCCCGTACTCATCATGTCTAGGGGTATACAAGCGTCTCAAACAGTTCCCAGAATTTTCACCCCGATCCAAGTAGTCTGACACCCTAGTGTTATTGTTAAAGTCGAATCCTTGATTTCGTAGCGGCAATCACGGCCTAGAGCTTCGCACACTCTCGCACACCAAGTGCGGTGGTCTACCTCACTTCCGTCTCCCCACTTCGTGCTAGCATTTCCATCTTCAGCTTCTCCAGATCCAAGTGCGGAGCAACCTTGTTCGCCCACCAAAGCGCCACCCAGCCTCTGCTCGTCTCCTTCAGTTTATCCGCCAACATCTGCTCCTGCTCTTGTTCTGCTGACTCATCATCATAGTGCTTCTCCATATCCTCGCGCGACATGCCCAGGAAGCTAGTATTCACCTTTTCACTGAAAGCATCGGATGCCCATGCGCCGGGTGTGTAAGCCGAAGTTGTACGATGGAACTTAGGTCGCGGGCGATGGTTTTCGGCAAGTGTATGTTCGGCGTGGGGCAGCACAACTGCAGTGCGAGAGAGCGGCTGGAAGGGCGAGGGATTGACGACGTAATGATGCTCGGGTGATATAGTCACCGAATCTGTTGTGCGGGCCCGTTTAGGCGATGGTGAGGCGGATTGGCTGCCTGGAATGGTGCGAGTGCGTAGGCGCTTGAGGATCGATTTCGGGACCGCGGAGTTATGCTCGGATGCCAGCGGGGTCGCAGTTATTGCTGTAGCTACGGGATGTGCGTCTAACTTCTCTCCTAGTTCTGGTTCTGGTACTGAAATCCACCGAGACTCCGGTGGCTGACTGCGCAAAGCTTCCACTAACGGATCCAGTCGAGTCGACTCCGGCATCGTGAGCACCTCCTGCGGTTCGTTCAATCCTGTTGCGGACATAGATGATGTTACCTCGTCTCTCCACTCTTCATCCATCTCTTTCTCGATCACCTTCCTCAACCATACCATCAATAAACGCGCACCCTCCTTCTCCAACTTGGTCGGCTCTCCCTCTTCTGCACCGTCAACGTATCTTAGACCCGGCACTCTACCCAGCAATACCTTCTTGTAGTTCCAAATATTGAGCGCTTCTCTCAGCTTGGTCAGATCCTGGACTGGCACACTTGTGTCGTTGAGTAAGTCTTCGAACAGTTCCACAGTATTGGTCAGTGCAATTTTTGCCCTGCGCCAGTTCCTTCTGACGGCCTTGTGGCCAGGGCTCGCATGGTCGCCTTTCCCGCCTTCTTTGGACTGGAAAAGACCACCGCGCAATTCAAACTGTTCCTGTACAGCCTCGATGTCTCGGGCTTGTGAAATTATCATGCATGATGGACAGAGCTGCGGCGAGGGGAGCCTGGAAGCAAGAGTGGTCGGTACGGGGTGTGCGCATGTGCTTAGAACAGGCGTGGCAGGGTTGAATCGTACCATCTTGGAGGAGCCGTGGGTGTTGAGCGTCGGGGTTTAGTGGACGAGTTGCTGCATGCGACAGTTTGCTGCGGCTCTGCGTGAGCAAGGGTCACCTGTGTCTGTGCGTTAATGTCCTTCTTGTCTCAGATAGGAGAAGCGAGTTGAGGTCCAGGCTGCCACAACATGACGTAATAGTGGAGTTTCACGTGAATAACCACGGTACTGCGATGACCTGTAAACGACGAGTCACGCACAACCCCCATAATGCCAATGAGATAACGGTGATAAGCCCCCTTTCCACGAGGGGCCCCAAAGAAAGAGGTGTGAAGTAGAGTAGCAGAGCTATCGTATGGCTTGTTAAGATGGATAGAAGCTGGGTCCATCAGCATGGTAACCAAATTCGGCCGGCCTTCACGGAGACGCACCTCATATAAGCGTAAACTGAACATACGCGCTGAAGTCGACGTTATTATCAAAACGCAAGTCTGCAAGTTCTTCCGACAATGTAGTCTTACCAGTCATTCGTTTTCGTACTTCGTTGACGGGGATGGGCATTTGATCCTCGAGCGTACATGAGATCGGGTGGTAATGCCAGGTACAGATGGAACCGGTAGAAAGTGAAGTCGGTAGTTACCACATGAAACCGCCCGACTTCAGAGCGCCGCTTTCCATATTTCTTTCTGGAAACGTCCGATATGTATGAGACAGCTAAGGAAAGAATAGGAGTGCTTGACCATCCATCCCGAGAGGTGACCAGCTTTTGGAGCAATGCATCCTTTTAGTCACCGTAACGGCATCCTGTCTAGTTACACCGCCTACTTGAAGTTCACAAACTGTCCATCTAGAAAATAGGTACACATTCACAAAGACAAGGCCAAAGTACATGCTTCCAAGAAGTGCCGACGGAATAAGCAAGACTGTTGGTGGAAAGGTTCGGCGACTTGTGATGGCAATACAGATAGGAGATCAGAAAGAAGCAAAGAAACAGACTAACGGTGATGTCATGGATTAAATCGTAAGTATTAGTCTGCCGACAGAGCCGAGTGCGGGAAATCGATATATAATGGCAAGAGATGCCCACTTGGCGAGGCTGAGGCCGAAATGTCGCGGTACGTCCACCCCAGCATTCTAACGGGGTTCAAGCTCTTCCAGCACATATCTTCCAGTATGAAGACAAAAGACGCAGGTTTTGTATCGCACATCGCAACAGATACGCTACGTGCCAGCTGGCAATACGATGAACATGCGCTTGCATCGCTGACTAGTGTGGTCAGTTCATCGTGGCTGCTCACACGCGCTCCAAGACGAGTCGGCACTCTACCAGCAAAAGCATCGCAATCAGTCGTAGATTGGTCCGGAGCAAATGACCATGCAGTCCGTTCTCCATCGGCATGATCTATCTTCCGCACAGCTGAGGCACGTGGCGCGATATGGCTCTCCCGTGGCTGCCACGATATTCCACACATGGCCGGACATTACTCGCTCATGGAAAAGTAAAGGCCAGTCGGTAGTGCAATTGAATGACACCATATGGGCGACGAGACAGTTGGAGTCCTGCTTGTAGAGAAGAGGTCTCGAGGTGGGTCCCATGCAGGCAATACGCTAGTCAAGGCCGCGGCAAAAACGAGGCTGGGATCACGCCACGAAGAGAGCCGTTGCATGAGCACCAACACACGCGCCACGAATACTGCATCACATCGCATCGTCCATCATCGACCTGCAGTCTTTTGAATTGCAGCAATATGCCTTGCTGATAGTCAGTGATAGAGCAGAGAGGATAGATACGCATTGTGTGGACGTGATCGTCGTACCGCAATCTTCGCATCCATGGACGATCGTTTAGATGAGGGGCCGCATGAGAACCGTGGTACTGCTCCGGGTCCTCATAGGGGAACTGTTGTACAAATAGATTCCGCGGCGCCTCGAGCAATAGCAGTACAGAACAGCATGTCGACTTCCTCATGGCTGTCGTCATTGACGCAGCATGGATCCAAGCCACCGTTTATGCTCAAAGCTAGAAGCTCGGATGCGTTCATCATCGGGACTGTGTCTTTGGCCGTATTTACAGTAAGTCCTCAATGCGGGTGTAGCTAGGTTCAGAACAAGAGCTGATTCAAGAAGGACATGTTTCTGTACGGCGTCATTGTACCCGTCATCCCATTCGCAATACGTTCGCGTAGTCACATTGAGGAGGACCAAGTTCAATACTGGGTCTCGGTACTGGTTGCTGTATATGGCGCCGCTCTTCTTGCATTCTCGCCCATATGCGGATGGCTTGCTGACCGCGGGTCGACGCGTCGCTTTCCGCTTCTGATGGGCTTGTTCGTTCTCCTAGGAGCTACAATCCTGCTGAACCTTGGCAACTCGACTGGGGCTTTGATTGTCGGAAGGCTCCTTCAGGGGGCTTCGGCAGCTGTGGTATGGGTCGTTGGCCTGGCCTTGTTGGCTGATACGGTGCCCCAGGAACGGCTCGCAACTGCTGCTGGGTGGCTGACCATAGGCATGTCGATCGGAATGCTCATATCGCCTCTACTCGGTGGCATAGTCTACGACAAGGCTGGCTATAATGCCGTCTTCAGCATGTGCTATGCATTAGTCGGCTTGGATGTGATTCTCAGACTGTTGCTCGTGGAGAAGAAGGTGGCTGCGAAATGGGACGCAACGGTAATGGGACGCTCATCTGGCGAGGGAGACGCATCCTCAGAGGACAAAGAGTTAGGCTCCATCGCCATCGCAAGTCGAAGCGACAGCTTAGGTCTTACCAGGACAACAACTCAGCAAGACGCGGAGTCTGCTGAAGCGCAACAAGAAAGTCCGCCTCGGCAACGTGTGCGCGATCGCCTTCCTCCCGTGCTTTCACTCCTGTATTCCCGACGCCTGCTTGCCTCGCTGTTCTGTGCGCTCATTCAAGCAATATTGTTGACGGCCTTCGACTCTGTCCTCGCCATCCACGCCGCCAACACATTCAACTGGTCCTCGACAGGCGCTGCGCTTCTTTTCCTTCCGATCGTCATACCGAGTTTCCTCTCGCCGTTGTGGGGCTGGTTGAGTGACACATATGGAGGGCGCTATGTGGTTGTCGTGGGCTTTCTTGGGGGTTGCCCTCCCCTCGTCTGCCTCCGGTTTGTCGATGAGAACACGACGAAGGACAAGGTGCTGCTATGCGCGTTACTGGCGGTCACGGGGCTCTTTGTGGGCATGACGTTCGCGCCGGTCATGGCAGAGGTATCGGCTGTCGCTGAGGCCAAGGAAAGAAAGATGATCGCAGATGGACGCCCAGGATTCGGCAAAGGCGGTGCATTTGCGCAGGCTTACGCACTATACAACTCCGCGTTCGCTGCCGGCTGCATGGCGGGACCTCTGTTGGCCGGGTTTCTTGCGGAGGACAGCGGCTGGGGGACTATGGCGGCCGTCTTGGGCGCGCTGTCTGCTGTCACTGCCGTCCCGGGTTTTCTCTGGCTAGGTGGATGGGTGCTAGCAAAGAACTAGGCACGGTCGATAGGATAGTCTCTCCGAACATCGGCCGCATACACAGACATTTAGTCGGTTGCACTCTGCGTGCTGTGAGTCGTGATACATGGCGTCATTGCCTCGGCTTCGTCCCCACTGCCGTTGTTG